AGAGAGAGAGAGAGAGAGAGAGAGAGAGAGAGAGAGAGAGAGAGAGACCAAAAGGCACTTTAGATCTCCTCAGTGCTGAGGCAGGAAGTACCTGTGATTAGCCTGAGTGATGTTGATAGAAACCAAACTAAAGATGTCAATATCGTATTACAAGCAGAACGAAAGCAGAGGGAAGCAGGTTCAAGTGAAAGAAAACACAGATATTTAATTTTTTTCATTTTTATCTGGGCTCCATCATCATTTCTCTGACTTTTTGAAACACTGGAGCAATCTTTTATGCATATGATGTGTGGAATAACACTTAACAGGGCTGTATTCAAACTAAAATCTAGCAAATTACCATACACATACATCCTCATCGAAATACAGCTGCTATTAATACTGAATACAAACAAAGCCATGTCCACTTCATTTAAATTAACAAATGCTTTGGGAGTCATTTTAGTCAACAACACCTGGCAGGAGAGATGGATCACTATGTGCTGTGAAAATGACTCAGTTCTCAAAAGACGCCGCTCACCTGAGTCTTTACAACCTGTGATGTAGATCAGGATGTGAAGGAGTGAATATGTGAATCAGGGCTTAGACGAGGCTGCACATTGGAAAATTGCAGCTGCACAAAGCACCAAAAGATGATGCAGCTACACGACATGGCAAAACGTATGTGGATAACCAAACATCACACCCATATTTGATTGTTCAACATCTCATTTAAAAACCATGAGCATTAATCTGCTGCTATAACAGCTTCCACACTTACTGGAAGGCTTTCCATTAGACTTTGGAGCCTGACTGAAGAGCTTTTGTGCCACTCAGTCACAGAAACATTAGTGAGGTTGACCGCTGATGCAGAGAGATCAGAGCTGGCTCACAGTCGGTGTTCAAGCTCATCCTAGAGGTGTTGGATGGGGGCTGAGGTCAGGTGATGTTTTTTCCCACCAAAATCACAGAACCATGTCTTTATGGTCCTCACTTTGTGCACAGGAACACTTTCATGTAGAAACAGGAAAGAGTCTTCTTCAAACTGATGGCAATAGGAAGTACACTGTTGTCCTAAATATCATTAGCTGCGTTTCCTTTTTTACAAATTTTAAGCAAACTTTTGAAATGTTGCAAAAAAGAAATGCAAATTAGGCGCATTTCCATCAACTGGTTTGGAGTAAATAAACTCAGCTGCATAGTTTAGTCAGAAGTTGGCAGTATAGGCTACGCATCATGTCTGTAATCCTCCAGTAAACAGAACAGAAGAAGTATTTGTAAACCGAAAAGAAAACAATCTATGAGTAAAATGGAGAGGTCTTCAAGAGTTTCAATTGGGCACGTTTTAATTGTTCCTTCATATCAGCTAGTATTGGCCATGTTTCATGTTGTCTGGAGACGTAGACAAGCATTCATACGTTATGGGAATATCAGAGAATACGACCACAGCAGAAACAGCAGATCAGTAATGGGAGTTAAATGTTTTCTACGTCAGAATTTATTTGGCAAAGGCTTTTCCATTATCTATTTTATTATTATTCTTCATTTATTTATACATACTCTTTTTTCGACACAGACAAAAAACACTTAAAGCACGGGAGTTTTATCGATTTTTGCCATTTCCATATAACTTTTCTAATGCAAATGAAAAATGTGCAAAAAAGTACATTGAATGGAAACTTGGTCATTGTGTATATATAATAATATATATATATATATATATATGTATATATAGTATAATATATATAGTATATTAAGAGATACCTTAATTGGAACCAAGGAGCCGAGCCCAGAAGTATGCAAAAGTCATCATTTTACAAAAAAATATTCGGGATCATCAGCATCCATTAGAAAACATCCAACAACAGAAAACAGACATCTGGATCTCCATCAAAATCCTTCCTAACAGTTACTTGACTTGGTCCCTACCAATAAACAAATCGAATGCATATTCTGCAGAAAAACGACACATGAACTGACTAACTAATGAGGTCAAAAAATCATCTGCACCGAGATAAAGGTTTGACATTCCTCCAGCTGTTACCTGCCAGTGGCAGCACAGCTGATGACGAGGCAGCAGGTCACATCTGTCAGTGACTTCATCAGTGTCTACTTTAATCTCATTCTGTCATCGAGCCTCGATCACTACACTTCAGGCCAGCCTGTTCTCCCTTCATTCTCCTCTACGATATGTCGTAAGTTATTTGACCGTCACTCCTCTGCGCTCCATCCGTATCTCCATCCATATTCTTGAGCTCTCAGCCTGGGTTATTAACCCCCCATTATCTCTTTAATTAGCTGCTGATTGGCTATGTTTTTAAAAACAACATAATTGGCTCCGGGAGACCACTGGGGAGAGACCAGAAGACACATCGATGCGAGTACAGAGTTAAATGCATGTAAGAGAAACAGGTGGGGAGAGATGAGAATTAAAAAGTAAGATTGAGACAGGAACAGGGAGGAGGAAGTGACAGACGGTAAGTGAACAGAAGATGAAACCACTTTAAGCTGTCTTGGTTTAGAGACCATGAGTTAGTGAGTCACAGTCAATCCCTCAGGTCTTATAAGACATCAGGCAAATTGTATTGGTGTGGGAGAAAAAACAATTTTAGACATGCAGAAACAAATAAAGAAGCACACAAACACTCCTATTTTATAACTATTCTTTCTGAACTTGATACTCCTGATTCCAGCAAATAATTTGCTGGAATCTTACAAATGCTCAGAAAGAATAATGTCTCTAATAATGTCACTACTTTGCTATCTAATTTTTACCAAAGTAAGAGTCTAATTCTGGTACAGAGAATGATTAGAGGGCTCAAGGCCCCAGTGGGTCTGTCTTGCCATTGCTCACTTCATTCTTGCATCATCTGGCGAAGGATTGTGGAGGCATGAATTGAGCCTTGTTACATGATGTAAAGAGAGTACCGACAGACGTCATGGTGATTTTTTATGCATCTCAAAGTAATGACAAATACATAAAAATAAGGCTGAAATTCTTTTAATGGCTTTCATTAACTCTTACAAGCATTTTACTTTTGTCTCACAGCTTGAATGTTCTTTCTTTTAAGGACTTTGTAACTAACATCTCTGTAGAGCCTTTTGCAGTTTGTAAACAATAGTGACGTACGTCGTAATCTTGTCTGACACCTGTAGAACTCGAGTCTGCTGTTGGAATATCGATTGTGACAACCGAACATGCACCAACCAGATATTGATGCTGTTACCAGTTTTAATTCAATGTTTAAAGCTTGTTAACTCGTCTGGATGGCTGGGGCTGAACGGCACTTCCGTTGCCACATGCGCATGCATATTGTTGTGGACGTCGAGCTGTAAAATAATCTATAAAAAGTACCCTTATTTATTACAATCATCAATGGGTAAAGGACAAATTTGTAATATTCTTTACAATAAAAGTTAAAGTATAAACAGTTCAGCTAAATATCCCAGTCAATTTCAGAGCAATACCAGGTTTCAATCTTGTATTAGTTTTTAACATAATATACATTTTATATCTAACATTTTAGTTGCTGACACGCAATAAATACTTTAACGCCCTCCTCATTGCAGCTTAATTTATGACTGCATAACGATTGCAGCCTCAACTTAGCATCACTACTGCAGACACATGCATGCACAGACTTCTGAAAAAGCTGTGAAGTCAACATATGGTACAGATTCGTTCTTACAGACTGAAGGCCACAAGGTGTTGCAGTAAACAGCCCATGTCAGATGTCCTACCTGCTGCTGAACGACATGGCTGAAAAGTAGAGACTTCATTATTGCTACCATCTGTGGCGATACAACCACTCTAGAAAACTATAGTTTTTAAACTCAATCATGAAGATGGTTGTGTTTGTATCTGTGTATACCAGAATATTGTTTTTGCTCATTAAAGTTTTTGAAAATGATCAAATGCAGCATTATCCTATGATTGCAATATAGGCAATTACATCCACTTAAACACACATACTTAAATACACACCCATATGCACGCTTGCACAAACAAATTATAAAATCAATATCCAGACTGAGGGTCATGTTTATGGTGTGAGTAAAGGCCAGAAGGCAGCAGTGGTCTCTCCACTATTGAAAGCTTTAACTAATGTTGTAATTAATGCACCCAGTCATTTTGTAGTTAAACCACGTGATGATTGTCAGACCTGAAACTCAGGAGAGTTAGTCAGACGTACTTCTTGTTATACTGTACATTAAAAAAAAGGAAATGAAAAGTAGTGTTTTTTTAGATCTGGATTAGTCGGTTACTAAAATATGTTGCAGGGGAAGCTGGCAGATATTTGTTCCTATACACTCAGAGAGTTTAATGTTTGCATTTTAACATGAAGTCAGGCACGTACAACTTGTCAAGGATGTAATTTGTCATCTCTACTTTTCTGATATTAACAGACAAAACATGAAGTTGCAGCCAAGGCCTGGAGAATGTCCTCCATTTGTAGATGATGTTGTCCATTTGGTTCTCTTAGACTTTGACCTCTGATCTAGCATGAAGCAGTTTGCAGCTCAGCAGCTCAGCGTGATGCTGTCAAGATGAAGACCTTTAAAGCAAAACTTATACTTTCCACTAGTATGCGAGGGTCCATGTAATGTAAATATTGTCATCAGAGGGTGTACACATAGGCTCTGTGCGGACGTCTGCAGACCGTCAATTTGTTGTGAGCACACGGACAAGTCCAGGCAGGTTCTACCACCACACATGTGCGATCTATTGCGCATTTGTGGATCAATGTACTAAATACTACACACTGGACCTTTAAATGCATTCCTCGGGGCTTAGCAATCGGATTTTATGTTGCACTCTGTGTGATTGATTCTGTTAACATTGAAAGGAGCCTGTTCGGGTAGTTTGGGCACCTATAGTATGCTTTCTGGTCATCTCCCTTTGGAGGCTTTCAAGGCATGACCAACTGGGAGGAGACAAGTAAGATCAAGCACACATTGAAGGGATCACTCTCCCAGCCACACTGGAGTGCAACTTATTTGGATAAGGACATTCGGGCTGCTCTGTTTGTCTTGCTTCCACAACTATGAGCAGGATAAGTAATGGATAGGACACCATAGAACATGTTTCTATCAAGGTGGGTCATAGGATACTCATTCTAAGTGTTAACCATTTATCACAATAATGGGGCACATTTTGGTTTAGCGTTGTGTTTTGCCGTGATCTGCATAAGTGTGATCCAGGCGTCCCTCTATAAGCTCACAAACACCGAGCAGAGTGTGAGGCGCAGACACTTCAATTTACAAGAACTCGTAACTGAATGGAGAAATCTAAATGCTAATGCAGAAGGAGGCGGTGGAAGGGGAGGTGGACGAAGTTGGACCTCTGAGAAGCAGGCGGCAGTTATAGCTGCATGGAAGCAGCAATGAGTGCGTCAATCATATATATGCCTGTTGATTGGTTACAATATGCGATGGCTGCTTCTCCTTGTTGATGCCGTTTGTCTGCATTTCCCACGTGTTCTGTGTGACCGTTGTCCTCGATATATTAAATATCTACATAGGGTTTTTGATTGATGCACCTGCAGCTCAGTCACATATGATTCTCTTGGTGATGCGTTTGTGGTCTCACGTTGCTTTGAAAACTCATATCAAAGTGCTGATTGTCAGACCTCTTTCATAAATCACAAATGCGGCATTCAACCTCACTGGACCTACCTTTGTAGCAGCATTCGCAATGGTGATAAAAAATACTTCAAAGACACAAACGTACTAAAACTAGAAGCCTGATAAAATATAACAAATACAGCAGTGAGAGAGGAAGAAATACAACATGACATATGATCATAATAAATAATAAATATTTAAAAAATATATATATATAGATGTATACTGTATATATATGTATATACATACATATACGTCTATAGAAGAAGTCTCCCTCAGCTCTTATTTGAGCTGAATTATCCTGCTTTCTAAACCACTCACTGTGAGAGAGGTTCAGTATGTAGCAGCACATACAAAATGGACACCCCCCCCCCCCCCCCCCCCCCCCCCCCCCCCCCCCCCCCCCTTCCC